CTTAGAGCTACGCTGTGCTTCCTTCAATCCGGAAACGTGAACGTCACCGAACCTATTTATTTTCATTCTCGGTTTTTGACAATAAAGACTGGTCAACCTTCCAAGTTGTGCCGTGTTTCGTTGCTGGAGTTGGCACCGTTCTGTCAACCAGTTGAATCCAACCAGTAATTTAGCTCGCCACGTGCGCAGGTCAATTTTCAGTTCCCCTTTTTTACGGTGAGCCTTGCAATCGTAGCCGCCCTATATTCGCGCTCTTTAGTGCAGCGACTTAACGCACGTGTGCATACCTTGTTGCCGATCCGGTTTGGGTGGACGCCGTCGCGGTGGATCCACTGGTGCCACTCGTCAGCTAGCCCGTCAAGGAACGTGAACCCTTCCCTGCGACACAACTCTCGCAGCAGCGAGTTCACCTCTCGGTAACGGTCATTCGAAGCCTCGATCTCTGCAGCGTGACTACGCTGCCATTCCAATGAGCAGAACCTATTCTCCCGTCTCGGAAGAACGGCAGAAAAGGCGATCTGCATCATTGGATTGCGTTCACAGATCTGGGCAGCTAGACGACGATATTTGTCGATGTACACGCTGGCACTAATATGGGAATTATTAGTGCCAACGTGTAGGATGACATCAAAATCGGGTAGCTTCTCAGACACCTGGGAAAACAAGTGCTCGATTCTAATACCACTAAACGGCGCAACCTCAACAGCCAACCGACTATTCAATGGCAAGTACTTCACCATCGAATCGCCGGCTACCAAAACTCGAGGCACGTTGGGGGTGCGATCAAAGCCAAAATACAAAGAGTAGCACTAGATACGGAAAAATGTATTGCTAAAAAGAACAAGACAATGCTAAACAAAACGCTTCAAAGAGTGCGAAAAATCAGTCAAAATAGCTTGCGTGACCGGAGCCGACAGCAGCGCGGCCAGGACCCGACCACAGAAGACTACAGCGGCAGACGCACATGGTCGGCCACATGTCATAACAAAGGCAACATCCGGGGCCGGGGATGATACGTTACTTCCGGCGTCGAAGGAACGATTTCCACACAGCCGTCTTTCCTCCGACGCGACTACGTCACTTCCGGCGTCGGAGGAACGATTTGCACACAGGGCCCACTCCTCCGACGCCCGTCGGAGGAAGCACTTTCCGCAGCAATTGTTACGGCTTTCTTGGTGCGGAATAGCCACCTCAGAAATAACAGCGCTAACCCACTACAACGCACAACCAACGCAGCGACTGGCAGATGCTTCCCGGTGCAATGGACCCGTTTGCCGCTAGGGGCGCCCTGGTCGGGGCTTGAATTAGATGCGCACGGTTCCTATACAGACGCCAACGCCGCCCTAGGAAATTTTTTGAACATTAGAAATCAGCAGTTTGTCTGCCATCCGCCAGGTCGCGCAACAAAACACCCGAACAGTGTTTTAATGCTTTTAAAATTAGCTAAGCTCTACACCTATTAAGAAACCAAAGCAAGATCAGTGTGAAAATGTAATACATCGCAATGCATATCTATTCCAACCAATAAATGTTATTAGATGCCAATAAATCTGTTCGATGTCCAAACAAGATATGCGTCAAAAACAGGTAAGTTTGAAGTGCTTCTGGAGCGTTATGACTTTGAAAATGAAAAAAAAAAAAGCCATCGTCCACCTCTTGGGCAACCATTGTAGCTCTAAACGTTATAAAAGATTTTATCATAGTTTAATTATTTGCTCAGCGGCATCTGAAGTACCATGACTCGAAGCACAAAAAAGTGCTACGTTTGATATAAAATATCTAAACAAAAAAATTTTACACAACATTAAATTTTTTTCTGCATATTACCAATTAATAAGCACTACATCTGTAGCTAATTTCATTACCCTAGCGCTTGTGATTAAAAACATATTTGTGCTGTAAAATGTCAATTTTAGGGCAATATTTGGAGGGATGAAAAAAACAAAGTAGTGCAAATATCAAAAACGTGTATCGTTACATTCTGCTCCGACATCATCTTAACAAAACTGCTATATTGGAACCGTGCTACCTTTAATGGATCATTCATAAAACATGAACTAGCGGAGCAAGTGAGGGTCCACGCCATCATATTCTCAATACTACAAATGCGCATGTACAGTAAAAACCAACACATACATAATATAAAAAGAAAGAGGAGTGCATTGTTTTTCGAATGACATCAATCCCAGAAAACAGTATTTAAAAGGGGATGAGTAATGACCTGCGAAAAAGTACCTAAACTGCCACATTCAGTGGGACCGTGGCCTTATGTAATGGAATGTTGGCTTTTGAATACAGTGCCGTAGGTGAATCCAGTCGACGATATTTGGAAAAAATAAAACGCAAAGCAAGTCGTTGCACCTTTTCTAGCTTTAGCACATCTTTAACAATATGAGGATCCCAAATTTCGCATGCGTATTCCATCAATGGACGAACGAGTGCTTGATAAGCCAAAAGTTTTGTGTTAATTGAACTTAGTTTCAAAGACCGCCTTAAATACCACAATTTATAATTTGCTTTTTTTACAATACTATCAACTCCAACGGAGTTCATGAGAAATAATGACACCCAGATATTTGTAACTGCTTATCCTTACTAGTGGATACCCTTCGATGGCAAACGCGAATTCAATGGGCTTTGTTTTATGTGCAATAGTCATACAAACGGTTTTATCTAAGTTCAGTGACATTTGCCAAGTATTTCACCACTGACCAACACGTGTTAAGATTAATTTGATCGGTGGGCTCCTTAACCTCTGTATATAAGATACAGTTGTCGGCAAAGAGTCTACCTAGCCTTAACAGTTAAATTGAAGAGTATATCATTAATAAATATTTTAAAAAAACAAAGGACTGAGCACTGCTCCTTGAGGTACACCTGATTTTACATCGATCAAATCGGAATGTTTATCTTTAATTTCTACAAATTGTCTTCTGTACAAAAACATCTCTATCCATCTGATGAGACCTGGGTTTTTCAGAATATATTTTAATTTCAGTAATAATTTCCTGTGGTTAATCTTAAATGCTTTTTTTTTAATCTAAAAAATAACATCAACCTGGCCTTTACAGTTCAGTACTTCAGAAAAATCATGCGCGACTTCAACCCAGGACTTCAACTTCAACAAAAAATCATGCGTGACCCTCGCAATCGATGGCTTCTCCCCCTCTCTTCCCGTCCAGTCATGGTACCTCATCAGCTGGTCCACATGCGCTATCCCTGCTGGCTTTACGGTTTGGCAGTCCTTGAGCTTGTAGTCGTCCCGGCCGACCTTCTCTGTGATCCCGTATGGCCCCGACCTTCGAGCTGCTGATTTGGGGCTATGCCTATGCATCGCTCAGGGTGTCGAGGTCCATTGAGCACCATGTCCCCTATACAATACTCCACAGGTTGCCGAAGCTGGTTGTAGCGCTTGCACTGAAGCTCCTTGGTTTTCTCCTGGTGCTCCATTGCAAATCTCGAGCATCTTGCATCCTCTGAGTCAAGTCGGCCACAGAGGCAGGGGCAGCGCTGCAGTGCATGGCGACACCACTCCTTTAGACGTCTGACTCCCCTGGCATCCAGAGTTCCCATCCATAGCACGTGCATTAGTGCTGGGGTATGGCCTGTGCTGACACTCTTGCACGTCCGCCCTCCTGTCCCAATCCCTGGTAGCCGAGCAGTATGCCATGAGGCATTGCTTCACCGTGGCATTGTGGCGCTCAACCAGTTTCCCGCTGGTCGGTATGGCACAGTGTGCCTGTCCTTGATCCTTATGTGCGCCATGACTGACTTCCACAGTTTGCTGACGAAGACGCTGCCGTTGTCGCTCGAAATGCTTCTGGGGAACCCGTGTCGACAGAACACCTCCATTGTGTGTTCCACGATAACCTTGTTGGTGAGAGTGCGCAAGGATAAAAGCTCAACAATCTTGGTGAACTTGTCCACCACCACCAGCAGGCGTCTATGCTGTCGGGGGGGGGGGGGGGGAGGGGGGGGGGGCAGGGCAAGGGTCCGGTTAGTTCCACACTCATCATTAGTAAAATAGTGCAAAACAACAAGGAAAGGAAGGACGAGGTAGACAGAAAGGGCGCTAAACTGACAACTGACATTTAATAGACTTTAAAGGAGGAGAAGAAAGAAGCAAGAAGTTACTGATGTTGTTACTTAAAAGATAAGAAACGTACACCCTCAAGGATTCTGGCCTCAGCTCTCGAGGAGACCAGACGCACGTTCCTGAGCTCCCGCTTCAGGCTTAACCATTGCCCCAATCCGAGGGGGTCTCAGCACCCCCTCGTTGCCGCCCTGGACACCGAGGACCGACGCGGAGACCTCGCCTAACCAACCGACAAGCCAAGGAATCCTTGGACCTCCTCGAAAGGGGATTTTCAAGGGTCCGAGGATAAACAATGGAAGCGGAACGCCGAAGCCTAACGCCGCTCTCGCGCAGGCAGTTCAAATGAACAGCGGCAACGCTGCAATACCGGCCGCAGCTCCACAACGCAGCCTCGTAATTGACTTTGACTACTTCCGGACGTGCACCGCCAACAAGAAATGGGTAAGCACCTGCATGGCGAATCAAGCATTTATTCAGCAATGCATAGACCAGCGAGAGAGACTTCAACCCTTTCTGTCAGCTCTGAAATGCGACGACGGTTCCAGAGAAAACATCGACGCAAGATCACCACCCTGCAGTCAAGTTTCTGCTGTGTACGAAGACTTTCCCATGCTCGCGAGTAGCTCGCCCAGAGATCTGCCGATGACAACCTATGAAAAAAACCCTAAACTTGACGAACAACACAGCCCTGTCATGATGGACAGTAACGAGGATGGCCGACAGGCGGTACGAGGGAAACGTAAATACGACCTGATTTCAACGCAGCAACGTGAGTCTTCTGATGAAAGGACCCAGAAGCCCCTCACGCAGACGGTTGTTCTCCGACCAGTGTGTAAAATGAACGTCGAGGACTTCTCAACCAAGGAGATTCGCGCCGCCATCGAGAAAACCGGCGTAAAGACACATGAGTGACTTCACCGTGCATAGACACGAAAAAGCGAATACCATCGCCATTACAACCAGGAACAGCTTGCTCGCGGAAAAATTTCTCCAAATCAGGGAAATTCCTACCGAGCGACAAGGCCCACAAGAAGTGCAGCCCTACAAGGCACTAGGCTCCAACGAGGTGAGAGGTGTCATCTACCTTCACTCTCCACATGAAGAACCCGAAACTCTCGTAAATGAACTTAGCTGCAACACACACAAGATCATCGCGGCCAGAGCCCTGGGCATCAAGAAAAGGACCATTCTAATTACATTCGAGGGACGAACGTTGCCCCGGCACGTTCGCTACGTTTTCGAAGTCTACAGGGTCGCAGAATACAGACCAAGGCCGCTGGTTTGTTTCGGATGTCACCAAATTGGTCACAAGGCTGATGTGTGCCCCAATAACATCCGGAGGTGCGGATCATGCGGACAAGAACACGGAGAGGTGGAGGATTGCCAGGCTGCACCAAAGTGCGTCAACTGCAACGGAGCACACGTCGCCACAAGCAACGAGTGCCCTAAAAGGAAAATTCCGCCGAGAAGCGACTCGCACCAGAAGCGACAAAAGAAGCCCGCACCGCGAGTTGACGAAGACCTCCAAGATGATATAATTGTTTTGACGCCGTCGCCTTTCCTGCCTTTGTCGGCTCGGCCGGACGTTTCATGGGCAGATAGAGTAAGAATGAATCAAGGAGCATTCAACCCCGTACGTCCACGCCACCCTATGGCTTCAACGACAGCCGCGGACAAGCAACAATTGAGACTGGGGCAACAGATTCCAGCAGAACAACCTGCAGACATCCTACCGAGAGACCCCTCCGCTTGGGAAGCAAAGCTTTCTGCCATGTGCCAAAAGGTTGAGGAAGGCCTGGCCTCTATTCAATCCAACACTAGAAGAATTGAAAGATTCGAGTATCTAGCAACTGAGATCCTCACCAGAATGAAATCCATCGGGGAAAAAATAGACAGATACCCGGTACCCACCAATGAATGATAGCCAGAAAAGAAATGTGAAACCGGACGATTCGCAAAGCAAAGACGCAAGCCCTCGCCCCTGGATTCTTCAATGGAATTGTAGAGGATTCGCAAACAAAGCAGCGGAGCTGCAACTACGACTTCAAAGAATGGGCAAGAAAAGACCGGCGGTCATTCTCCTCCAAGAGACCAACTCCGAAAGTGTTAAGCTTAGTGGCTACAAGACATACAGCGCACCATCCATACCGAGAGCGATCCCGCACAAAAAGGGCACGGATAGAGAAGAAACTGTGATCTTAGGACAGGTGGCCATTTTATTCGACGAGCACGTTCCGCACGCGCAAAGGGAATCGACAGACCTGTGCAACGAAGCGAGAGAGGTAGTCGTAGTATAGATCAAACACAACAAAACGACTCTTACGGTGGCTTCGACCTATATAAGGCCCGCCGTCAAAAGAGGAGATGATATGAGCTGGCTTGCACAAATGAAACCTCGACATAAAAAGGAAGCCATAATAATAGGAGGAGATTTCAACGCTCCACACGAGCAATGGGGCTACAAACGCTCACACCTTCGAGGCGAGGCGCTGAAGAGCAAGTCAAAGGAGCTAGGTTTCGTTTTAATCAACGAACCCGGCACGCCCACGAGAATCGGACTTCACGCGAAGCAAGCAGATACCACGCCAGACCTCACGTGGGCAACCAAGAATGTTAAGGCGAACTGGAGAACTATGCAAGACGCAATGGGCAGCGATCACCTGCCCATCAAAATCGAGCTACCGACCAAAGATCGGTACAAACGAGACGCACCCTTCATCAGATGGGATAAGTTTCGCGAAACTATCCAGACGGCCACTTCCTCACTCCCCCTAGACCAACAAATCCAATTAGCAATTAAAGCGGCAACAAAGACCTACAAAGTTAAAGAAGGCACCCCTAACCCTGACCTACATTTGCTCAACCTTTGGGCTGCTAGACTCCAGGCTCAACAGCGATACAGAAAGGCAAAACATAACATTCGTTTCAAGATTAAACTCAACATCGCCACGGCCAAAGCCAAATATTACACAAAGGAGCTCAAGCGGCAAATCTGGAGACGGCACTGCAACTCGTTCAACGAAAAGACTGGCTTGAGGAGAATGTGGCGGACATACAAAGGTATGTCCGGCAAGAAACGAAACAAGTGCACTGCTCAAAACCTCGCCATCAGACTAGGAATCGCGGAGGAAGAACTTGCCGTAAGGGCAGGCGAACACTTCTTTCCGCAACCAACACCGCAACAGCTGCAACACCGCTACACAGAAGTGATCCCTGAACTCGACCATCCGTCACCAGCTGACGCGCCATTTAACATGGGGGAACTAATGGCAGCTCTGGCTTCGGCAAACAACACCGCGCCGGGGCCGGACAGGATCACAATTACAGCCCTCAAGAATTTACCGGAGGAAAAGAAGACAGAACTACTAAAGTGGTTCAACGAAGTGTGGGAAAGAGGACAGCTACCAGAAGCGTGGAAGCTCTCCACCGTAATTCCTATTCCCAAACCAGGCAAGCTCACTGACTCGATTCAGAACCTACGACCCATCTCTCTCACTTCGAATCTATGTAAGACTATGGAGAGAATGGTTCTGGCGAGAATCACGTGGCTCCTCGAAATCAACAGCCAGGCATATTGCGCCAGACAGACCGGCTTCAGGCCGGGTCTTTCAACGCAAGACAGTTTGGCAATGATTCACAAAGACGTCACCTCAAAACGACCCTGCTACAATCCCCGGCTGATCGTCGCGATCGACATTAAGAAAGCCTTTGATTCCGTACCACACGACGCAGTCTTACGTGGCGCAGTAAAGAGAGGAATCAAGGGGAAAACTTTGAAGTTTATTCGGTCCTTCTTGGATGAAAGGAAATTCGAGACGGCCATTGGACAATCCCGAGGACCGAGGACGGAGTCCCGCTAGGAGCCGTGATCTCGCCGACACTTTTTAATATGGTGATGGCGGATCTTGCACTCTCACTCGAGCTATTCCCAGATTTGGGATACACAATTTACGCTGACGACATTACCATCTGGATGAAGGGCGGCAGCGTTTCCAAACAAAGTGTCACGCTGCAAAAAGCACTCGACGACATACAAGATTTTTCCGAACGAACAGGACTTCAACTCTCACCCGAAAAAACGAATTACATCGCCATTTCTGACCGAAGGGGGCGAAAAGAAAATGTGGGAAGTAAAATCAAACTTTTTGTCAACGGCACACAAATTCGTCAACAACCGACCATCAAGATTCTTGGTATCCCGATCGATGAGAACGGGAAAGCGGGAAGTTGGTATAAGCAAGTTAGAAGCCAATGAAAAGAGGCGCTTAACCTAATCAAACGCACCACCGGAAAAGCTTGGGGAGCCCAAAATCAGACCCTCAAGACCATGGTCAAGGCCCTCCTTGTGCCTAAAGCAACTTATGGGATCAATTACCTTAATCTCACCCAAGCACAGAAGAACGGACTAGAGGCACTAAACAGGGAAGCCTTAAGAGTTATCACCGGACTTCCCAAGTGCACCAAAATCGAAACACTTTACCAAATAGCAGGTCTCAACACCATCGAGGAGATCGCGAAAGAAAACAAAACAGGCCAAGTGCTTAGGCTCCAGAAAACCAAACCGGGACGGGAGATCCTCAAAGATCTCGGGTACTGTAAAGCAGAGTGTCGAACCGAAATTGTTACCGGTTCGGTTCTGGCTCGGGTTCACGGCTTTCGGTTCGGTTCCGGTTCAGTTCCGGGGAGCAAAAAATAACGGTTCAAACCGGTTCGAACCGGTTTGAACCGATAAACTGAGAATATATTTTTCGCGTTGCTCAGGCAGTATACACTATCTACGCCGCACAACGATAAACTATATAATTTCTTCGATCGTCCGTGCAATTTACTTTTGTTTTTAGGTACGAAAATTGTGAAATTCAGTTATTTAATTTCGACGCAGGAGTAGAGGAAAATCCACATTAACGTACATAACGTCGTGTTCATACGACTCAATATCCCTTTGTTTACGAGTAACATATATTTTACCTGAATCCAAATGTTTAAGTACAACAGTAAAGCGTTGAGCTTGTTGGTACATACCAGTAAATAGATCGGCTTGAAATTGAGAACTTTTTGCATTTGCTTGTCCTTTCTTCATGCTAAAGCAAAATTCTAAAGTTCAAGTTGATCGATCTACACGGTATAAAATGTTGTCGCGAAGTCTGGTAGGTGGGCTAAAATACGCTTGATTGGTAAAACTTTGTGTCGCAGTATTAAAAGTGAAATCGTGATTGTGTCCTTAAACTAGGGAAATAATTAAAACACATAAAATTATGAAATGAGTACCTCGGTGGCCATATATATCATGAAATATGGTTTACGAAATACGCTTCACAATATATATATGTATATGACGACGACACGACTGAGCTAAAAGCAATGAAATTCGCAAAATGTCACAAAAGTTTTAGGATAATTCTTTTCAGTCTATTTTTAAAGAAACACAGAGTGGCAAATCAAGATGCTTGTTGTTCAAACCAAACATTCTTTACAGTGAGCACCGCATGCATGCGACTAATCATGCAGCAAGTAATCGCAATTGCTCACTCTAATCAATAAACAACTTCACACTCAGATCGAACCTGGCCTAAGATAGCGCTTGCCCAAGTGAACATTTTCTTATACAGGATAAGCCGGCATAGAATAGCTGTTGAGGTTTGTTTTTGACAAGATGCCGGTCAGTTTGATTTGCAAATGAGCATCACCCTTGCTAATTGATGATTTCAACGCGTCAGCGTTAAGGAGCTAATGTCGCAAAAAAGCCGATGTCGGTGGCGTGACTGCAAAATCCTGATTGGTCGATAGGGTTATGACGTCAGAGCTACATGCCCTCCCGCAAGAATTTCAAACAACCCAGAATGCTCACGGGAAACGTGATATCACGCGTGGAATGAGAGTGATTAAAACATGACATGTAATGCAAATTAAAGGTCGCCGTATGTCTCAAATGATTTCACTTTTCAAAGTACTTCCTTTGCCTTAAAGGAAAAGAAAATTAAGAGTTTTAGGCGGGATTTGAACCCACGACCTCTCGGTATCGAGTCAGACGCTTTTTACTAGGCCACGCGAGGCACGCTTGCGCGGCAAATGAGAATGCGATGCAAACGAGGCCCGTTAACGCTATCGCGTTCCACTTTTAAAGGCGAAGCTTGAGCGTCCTCCAAGATTCTTTTTTTTTGTTAAATAAAACGAAGTAGTATTTCACGTTCTACTCGACATGTCAGCGACTTAATTAGACACTTTCTGACGGTTTGCGTGCGTAATTCATAGTTCCGCCGCGCGCCCTTGTTTACTTTGTTTTCGTCCAGCCTGTAGACGCATAAAAGTAATGTTCACCGCATAAAAGAGTCAATAAAAGACTTCTACATTTCTGAGAAGTTATATGTGTGAGGAACACATAGTTATTTAAATTAGCTTCAAAATCCGAAATATGTATAAGGCTGTCCCATGTCACTTACAACGTGCCTGTCGAGGATAAAAACGCCGGAAAAGATTGGCACAACACCTTTCAGATAATTTGGGGGGCATTGCTTTAGGGTGGTCGGCCCTTTATTTATGTTGTCAAATATTCAGTTAGTAATTAAATATATTTTTATAATGATAAATAAATTTTACTTCACAAAGTTCACATGACCGCATGAGACCGACGCGGAAGGACGATACTTGCAACTACGCGAGCTGTGGAGTCTGCGTAAAAGTGTTTTTCTGTTTGGCTGATTGGCAGTGTGAAACATCGAGTTGCAGGGTATGCCAAAAAGGACTCTGTGCTTACATGATATATTGGAAGTCAAATACACGAAATGTGGCAAAAAGAGAGAGATAAGTCATGTTACTTTTCTAAATAACCCCTTACAGAACGCCTTACCGCAAAAAGAGATGCGTAAAGATGCATGAAATGAAATTCATAATTTTACATAAAAAGGGCGAAGGACAAACAAA